TAGGAAAATAAATAAAAAATACGGTACTTACTTCCCCCCAAGGTTGTCACCTGCAGTAGCGTAATCCTGGACAATTCCCCAATTTTCCAGGTTGAAGCGCCCATTGCGTAGTCTGAGCATCAGCGAGTGCAAGGCATAAAACCCACACCAGATTCCCCAAAACCCGCAACTACGGTCTAATGGCCAGGTTTGGGGGATGATGTCATAAAGTCACCGCCCTTTTTACAGAGTCACGATGAACAACTTGTTTTGGATTTTTTGTTAAGTAAATCGTTTTCATTTCATCTATTCATTATGTTAGCATGTTTTTTTTTTGGGGAATTTGTATATTTTGTGTATTCGTTGTTTGGAATCGATTTTGTATGTTTCGGACTTATTTCGAAAGATTGGCTCTATTCATTGTAACGTGTTCATTAACTTGTGCACAGTCCCCATTTAACACACAACAAAATCGGTCATCCGTGCTAGTCCCTACTCCACAAAGAGACACATATAATAGACCTGACTGGATGATATATGACTGATAACGAAAGTAACGGATGGCACGAAATCTAAATTTCGGATTCATTGGTTATGTTAAAATTGGTCGAGATTCTGATGGATACAAACCTCCATCCATCCCAAACACAATATGTAAGGAGTCATCCTATTTCACTTTATACCTTACTTCCTTACTGTATTTATTGCAATAAGTTTACGATTTCATATGTAAGTGTTTTTCTCTTATAATAAAAATGAAAAATGTTTCACGCTAAATTAAAAAACGAAATGGACCCAAAATCAAATTTGAATCATTTGTTATGCCGTTATCGTTACTTTGTATGCTTAAAACCATTTACAAAATAGGCCCAAACTATTGCATCCTTTTATCTGAATGAAACGAATCTGAAATACGAGATGAATTCATTGATTGTAATAAATTTAATTTCAGATTTGTTGAAATCCGTTTGCTATTAGTAATTCAGATGCATCCAAATCTCCGAATAACACGAAAAACATTGTCTGAATTTTTGATTTGTAACATAATGGAATGTCTATCCGCTGGCTGTCTATGCCATCAATGGGACACACCCACCTCCACGGAGGACTGCACATCATGTGACTCATCCCACATCCACGGAGGGACTGCACAATCCATGTGACCATACCACATCTCACGGGAGGACTGCACATCATGTGACCATCCACATCCACGGAGGTACTAGCACATCTATGTGACCCTATCCTGGAACACAGTGTTTCCAATTCGCTCACTGCCCAAGTCCTGTACGTCATTTGGGACCCATAACATAAGGCAGTGGGGATTTCTCACACCAGATCACTCACAATGGCTTGATTGTGTGTACATCTGACAGCCTGTTGATGGAAGCATTTCAGGGGGCCTGATGCCTCTGCCGCCCGACAGAATTCTAACTCACACCCAGTAAAAGCACCCCTAGGTCGTTTATCCTGGGTTCCACTATGCGTCCATTCCCTGTTGGAACTAGTGAAGACCAGCAACAGCAGCAGAGAGGAGGAGGGAGAAGAGCGAGCCATAAACATCCACGTCTCCTCCCCTTCTTGTTGCTAGACCGTGCTAGAAGCGACAATGTAAAACGTCACACATCCGATCCCCATGTCCAGTGGTTTAATGTAGTATTTCAGAATTTAATGTAGTTGCGATCTGCCCTGAATTAGATTTTGTGGTTTAGAGGACCTGGATGTCTCATTAAGAACAAAACCTCCTCACCAAAAAAAATCTTCATAATGAAACAAAACAAAACACCAAGCATATAAAATCCGGCCACCAAAATTTTGAACCCCCCCCCCCCCCTCCCCCTACCCGACTATATAGAATCGTAAACCAACTCGGCATTGAGGTGTTGTCAGAGCTGAGAGCAATATTTCTAGCACACCAGACCTCACATACATGTCATATCCTATGACCGATAGCGAGCTTATAACAAAGTGTCCCCTCATGGAAAGTATAGGGTACTGAAGTTTGGTCGCTGTTTTTTACGCGGGCACACAAAAAAACAAATATTGAAAAGTTTGACATGATGGGTATCTATTTACTCAGTACACTTTGGTTTACTACTATAAATTAACACAACAAAAGTGTGGTAATTTTTTGCATTGTCGATCTGCTGCTAAAATTAACTTTATGGTACTTTTTACTGAAATAATTGCATTTCCTAGACCTTTCGAGGTAATATTAAGTGATGCATAACATTGACAGTCTAGACACACTATATTAATCTATAATAGGGCAGGGTCTCTCAAACTTTTTAAAATAAACAGGCGGGCCATTTCACCTGGTTCCTTAAGGCTTATCGCGGGGGGGCGTGGACTGTGGCCAGTTTGTGGGATAAAAAATGTTTCCAGAATCAGATGCAAGTAAATAATTCCCCAACATTGTGTTATTTTAACAGGAGGGATAGTGCCCCATTGAGTTGGCTTTAGCAGGAGGAGTAGAGTGAAACCATGGTTGGTACACAATTTGGAGGCATGTGACCCATCGAGAATGGTGCCATGGGAGAAATAGGGTGCCCCATCATGGTCTTAAGCAGGAAGAAGACTATGCCCCAATGTTGGTGATCCAATGGGAAGAAGAGTGCCCCAATTAAAGTGTATACTAAAACCCACAACAGTAAATAAAAAAAAAAAAAAAAAAAAAAAAAATAAAAAAAAAAAAAAATCAGTCTGTATACTGCAGTAAAAGCCTTTCTTGTTATACTCACTGTGGAACCCAAGGTGTTAATCCACACTGCATTGTAAAAAGGCTGTTTGATCCTGACAACTCCGTTCCTTCCTCCCCCTTCTTCAAGCGACCACCACCTCTTATCTCCTGATAAGACAGACTGAACCGTACTCATTTTCCACATGCTCAATTTGATGTGTATTGCCAGAGCAGGTTTTTTTTTTTCTTGGGAGAGTGCCATGTGATTCAGCACAGGGGCCAATCAGCACTGGGTCCGACAACGAGAGGTCAGGGTTTTGCTTCCTCCTAGAGCAGAAAGAAAACTCCTCTTACAAATCTTTAGCTAGTGATTGGGCTGAACACTGATATATCTACAAGACTGCTCTAACTGCTGATGAAAAAGGCATTTAGTGGTTTATATATTTACTAAAATATTTTGCACTTCCATGTTCTGTGTACTTTGGGAGACCAGATAGAGTGAATGCGGGGGGTCCGGGGAGAGTGGATATAGTGAATGCAATGTCCGGGGAGAGCGGATATAGTGAATGCAATGCCTGGGGAGAGCGGGATATAGTGAATGCAGGGTCCCTGGGAGAGCAGATATAGTGAATGCAGAGTCCGGGGACGAGCAACATAGTGAATGCGGGTTCGGCAGAGTGGATATAGTGAATGTAGGGTCCGAGGAGACTGGATATAGTGAATGCAGGGTCCGGAAGAGCGGATATAGTGGATGAAGGGTCCAGGGAGAATGAATATATAGTGAATGCGTGGGTCCGGGCTGAGAGAGCGGATATAGCGAATGCAGGGTCCAGGGAGAGCAGGTATTGTGAATGCAGGGTCCGGGGAGAGCGGACATAGTGAATGCAGGGTCCGGGAGAGCGGATATAGTGAATGCGGGGTCCGGGGAGACCGGATATAGTGAATGTGGGGTCGGGAGTGGATATAGTGAATGCAGGGTCCGAGGAGACTGGATATAGTGAATGCAGGGTCCGGGGAGAGCAGATATAGTGAGTGCAGGGTCTGGGGAGAGTGGATATAGTGAATGCAGGTCTGGGGAGACCGGATATAGTAAATGCAGGGTCAGGGGAGAGCGGATATAGTGGATGCAGGGTCCGGGGAGACCAGATATAGTGAATCCGGGGTCCGGGGAGAGCGGATATAGTGAATGCAGGGTCCGGGGAGAGCGGATATAGTGAATGCAGGGTCTGGGAGTTTAGTAACACTTTAATGGTGAAAGTGGGAGGAATGGTGCCTCGTCATTGGTGTCACTTGGAACAATAATGTCTCAAGGGCCGGACAGAGGCAAACACAGGGCCGCATTTAGCCCCCAGGCCACAGCTTGGAGACCACTGTTCTCCTGCGTCTGCTTTCAGAAAATATATCATGTTTTCGGGGTTTTATGCAATCTTCAAGCCTAAAATTATTTTTTAAACACGTGCAAAAAAACCCTGCAAAAATTGCTCTGGCAGTGAAGAGGTTAAAAAAAGCAAATGCTACGGGGGGGTGCTCTAGTGTGGAGCCCAGAGTTTTAAAAAGAAAGTAAAAATAATCCTCTATATACTCTCTATATCATAAACTTCCCCTGTGCTGTTCTTATATTGAGGCAAATGTATCCATATATAATAATAGAAAAGTATACAACTGAAAGCCTGACCTAACAGCGGAAAGGTCTGGACCCCCCCCCCCCCTTCTTGAAGCAATCAATAAAGCACTGTACTGGTAGAAAATTCTATTCCCAGCTCAGAGTCTCATCTCTTTACTATTCTCATTCTGCCTGTCATTTTGTTCAGCAAAGATATATTTGAAGAGGAAAAATGATCTGCAAATGTTTTGACCTGTGATTTTCTGGAACATTTAGAATCTGGCATAAAAAATTCTGAATTTTCTGTTTTGGAAGTAGCAGTTAGGAGGCAGAATTCTGCACACACAAATCTCAGCGAGAATACATGATATGAAAGATTGTATTATGACTCAGTTTCAATGTCTAAGAATTTTTTAGGAGTGGGCTGCTTTTAATATACAGTATATAGTTATCACATCCAAATTAGTAAATAACTAGCATTAAAAATAAACAACATAGCGGATTTTCAAGGTACCCACACATTACAACATGTAAAATCAAAGTATGATATTTATTAATCATCCATTAAACAATACTTCAGAGATATGCATTGAAAGAACGCATTCCACTGCTGCATTAGAATATCTAACAATACATTGATGGGTGGAGTCATATGACCAGCAAAGTGAAACAATGAATATCAGATAGATATACACTATATGGCCAAAAGTATTGGGCCTCCTGCCTTTCCACGCACATGACCTTTAATGACCCCCCAGTCTTGGTCCGTAGGGTTCAATATTGAGTTGGCCCCGCCCTTTGCAGCTATAACAGCTTCAACTCTTCTGGGAAGGCCGTCCACAAGGTTTAGGAGGGTGTCTATGGGAAGGTTGGACCATTCTTCCAGAAGAACATTTGTCAGGTCAGGCACTGATGTCGGGGAAGGACTCTAATTCATCCCAATGGTATTCTATGGGGGTTGAAGTCAGGGGTTAAGGACTGTGCAGGACAGTCAAGTTCCTCCACTTCAAACTGGCTCCTCCATGTCTTTATGGACCTTGCTTTGTGCACTGGTGCGCAGTAATGTTGGAACAGGAAGGAGCCATCCCAAAACTCTAACAACAAAGTTGGGAACATGAAATTGTCCAAAATGTCTTGGTATGCTGATGCCTTAAGAGTTCCCTTCACTGGAACTAGAGGGCCAAGCCCAACCCCTGAAAAACAACCCCACACCATAATCCCCCTCCACCAAACTTTACACTTGGCACAATGAAGTCAGGCAAGTACCGTTCTCCTGGCAATCACCAAACCCAGACATGTCCATCAGTTTGCAAGACAGAGAAGCATGATTGGTCACTCCAGAGAACACATCTCCTCTGCTCTAGAGTCCAGTGGCGGCATGCTTTACACCCACGGCATCCGACGCTTTGCATTGCACTTGGTGATGTAAGGCTTGGATGCAGCTGTTTGGCCATGGGAACCCATTCCATGAAGCTCTCTACGCACTGTTGTTGGGCTCATCTGAAGGCCACACCAAGTTCGGAGGTCTTTAGCTATTGACTCTGCAGACTATTGGCGACTTCTGCGCACTGTGCGCTTCAGCATGCGCTGACCCCGCCCTGTCATGTGACGTGGCCTACCACTTGATGGCTGAGTGGCTGTTGTTCCCAGTTGCTTCCACTTTGTTATAATCCCACTAACAGTTGAGCGTGGAATATTTAGCCGCCAGGAAATGTCACAGAAGGACTTATTGCACAGGTGGCCACCTATCACAGGACCACGCTTGGAGTCACTGAGCTCCTGAGAGCGACCCATTCTTTCACCAATGTTTGTAGAAGCAGTCTGCATGCCTAGGGGCTTGATTGTATACACCTGTGACCATGGAGGGGATTGGAACACCTGAATCACATGATATGGAGGGGATTGGAACACCTGAATCACATGATTTGGAGGGCAGGGCCAATACTTTTGGCAATAAAGTGTATACTAGTAGGGAGTCATTGTGAGTGATATTTTTAAGTAATTTTAATGGAACAGTAGCATTCTATGCATTATGGTAAACCTTATGAGTGCAACTCTTCCCCCCCCCCCCCCCCCCCCCCCCCCCCCCCCCCCCCCCCCGTTTATACCTCACTGAGCCTGATCCTGATCCAGTGGTGTGCCTAAGAGCCACATCACTGTTCTCTCTCTCACCTCATTGGTTCAGAAGCAGCAGCAGAAGTCAATCACAGTCAGTGAGAGAGAGTGGGGGCAGGACCCACCTGCATTACGTGTATTAAAAAAAAAAAAGACAGCAAGACCAACTTTTTATTAGTTGATATAAAATTTTTAGATAAATATTTATGTGTGTGTAAAGGGGAAGGATGCAGACTTTGATGTAAAGGGGGACACTGCAGACTGTGATGTAAAGGAGAAATCTGATGTAAGGGCGCCTCTGGTCACCAGAGACCACCTTACACAAGGGTCCCCGGAGTTCTCCTTTACATCAGAATCAGCAGAGTTCCCTCTTACAGCGCAAGGGGGACACTGCGGATTGTGATGTAAAGGGGAACTCTGATGGTAGGTGGTCTCTGGTCATCAAAGCATCACAGTCAGCAGAGTCCCCCTTTACATCAGGGTCCTCAGTGTTCCCTCTTACACTTGCACTGTGGGGGGGTCTGGTGACCACAGCCCTCCTCACATCTCCTGATCGGGTTGTTGACCCCACACCTACTCTATAACAAAAAAAAATTTTCACTATGAGAGCCAATTTAAGTTTTCGTAACGTACCAGGGGGTACATGGTAACGATTGGCAGCTGTACAGCTTGTGATTCTGCCAGTAACACACTTCCTGTTATAGGGTGCTAGGGTGACAACACTCATTCCCTATACTTTATTTTTGAAGAACAGTGTTGCCACTTCATCTCCATTCTATAGTGCTCCTTAGTGCAGAAAAGAGAATTAGGCAAGCCTGATACATTTTATGAGATTTTAGATCAATGCATACGAAGTTACAAAAACTCTGTTTCTGGTGGGATCAACAAGTGTTTTTTGTACGTTCAGAAGATTTTCTTAGCCTAGAAAAAGAAAACTAACAAAGCTACCTGTCAGGACCTGGATCTGAACCTACAACTTCTGCTGTGTCTGGCTGTATTTCTTCTTGGTGAGCCACCTAAGATGCTGGATAGCTCCCTGCCTGATTCCTTAGACCAGCGTTTTTCAATCACTGTGCCGCGGCACACTAGTGTGCCGTGAGATATTGTCTGGTGTGCCGTGGGAAAAATTGCAATTTCATCCGTAACATGTGGCCTCGGCTCACAAATAGACCAATCATTAGAACAGCAATGGGCAAACTACGGCCCGGCGGACCTTTTAATCCGACCCGCGGAGCGTGATACTGTCAGGATGATCTGTCCCCCTCGACGTATCTGCGCATGTGCCGGAGATCGCCGATCGGCTGCTAATGCCTGAAACTGGCACATGCGCAGATACGTCGAGGGGGACAGATCCTCACAGGAGACAGATTTTCATGCTACGCCGGAACGGCGAGAGGAACGCGCGGAGCAAAGGTAAGTGAATTGACACAGGGGGGGCTTGGGGACTTAATATGGGGGATGAATTAATATGGGGGATGAATTACTATGGGGGATGAATTACTATATGGGGGATGAATTACTATGGGGGATGAATTACTATTGGGGATGAATTACTATAGGGGGGATGAATTACTATGGGGGATGAATTACTATATGGGGGATGAATTACTATGGGGGATGAATTACTATATGGGGGATTAATTACTATAGGGGGGATGAATTACTATGGGGATGAATTACTATATGGGGGATGAATTACTATGGGGGATGAATTACTATATGGGGGGATTAATTACTATGGGGGATTAATTACTATATGGGGGATTAATCACTATGGGGGGTGAATTACTATATGGGGGATTAATTACTATGGGGGATGAATTACTATGGGGGATGAATTACTATATGGGGGATGTATTACTATGGGGGATGAATTACTATATGGGGGATTAATTACTATGGGGGATGAATTACTATGGGGGATGAATTACTATATGGGGGATTAATTACTATGGGGGATGAATTACTATGGGGGATGAATTACTATATGGGGGATTAATTACTATGCTTACTATGGGGGAATATTACTATACTTACTATGGATGACACATACACATCATTCATCTACTCTTGGTCCGGCCCCCGGGTCCAATTATAAAATACTTTATTATTTCATAATAAAGTAATTATAAAATAATTTCTTTGTGTTTGATTCCTATTCAAGAGAATTACTTTATATATAGTCAATATAGGCACAGAGGTAAATTTTTTTTAACATTTTCTAATGGTGGTGTGCCTCGTGATTTTTTTCATGAAAAAAGTGTGCCTTTGCACAAAAAAGGTTGAAAAACACTGCCTTAGACAACCTTGCCTTGTGTCTTGTTTCTCTTGCACCATGAACTCTTTGCTCCTCCCATGAACTTCCTATTTAAGCCATGCACTTCCTGTTTGCCTGAATATTGTGCTCACTCCAGCCAACAGCTAGCTCTTTTTATTTCTGCTGTCGTCTGCATCTTCATCACCACTCGTTACTGACCTTTGTCTTG